AATTAAGAGCTGGCTGGGAAATTGTGAGGAGTCAAAGGCCCTTGGTGCTGTTTGTAGACAACATTTGCTGTAACCAGGTTTGGGGCATGTCGTTTCTTCCAGTGCTTGAGAGCTATGCTTGCCAAATGATTCCCTGTCATAGGGATTAACCAGTGATATGAAACATTTGATTAAGGGATTTAGAGAAATCTCTCTTGAGGGACATGATTGGTAGCTGTTGTTGCTGGCTGCTCCTCCCCCTCACAAGAAACCTGTTTCATCTCAGTATATTAAGTTTGTAGTGATGAGTCACAGAATATGCATAGTCTGATGCAGGATCTTTTTAGAAAGCAGGAATTCTCTTCGATATATTGTTAAGTAAGCCCCTTATGGTTTCTCTATAACTTAGAAAGGAACCTTCTCCCTCTCTAGCTGTGCTATGCCTCCATCATTTTTGGAAGGAGACAGAAATAAATCATCAATAAAAATAGACTGTTTGCCAACTGTGGTACTATTCTCTTAGGAAAGTAGTTGTATGTTAACTTTAATTCCAAGTAATGGGAGGAAAACTTGAGTTTGGAGATTCAGTTCCAAAGTGGTAGGGAACTCCTGCTGTGGAGTGAGTGGTAGGTTGTTTGGCTCCCTTTCCATCATATTCAATTTGTGCATGTTCCATCCCACAGATCACTATCATCTTCAAAGCACACCACGAGTGTACGGATCAGAAGGTATACCAAGCTGTGACAGATGACCTACCAGCCGCCTTTGTGGATGGCACCACCAGTGGTGGGGATGGTGATGTCAAGAGCCTACGTATCGTGGAGAGAGAGAGTGGCCGCTATGTGGAGATGCATGCCCGCTACATAGGCACCACAGTGTTTGTGCGACAGCTGGGTCGCTACCTGACCCTTGCCATCCGAATGCCTGAAGACCTAGCCATGTCCTATGAGGAAAGCCAGGACTTGCAGCTGTGCGTGAACGGCTGCCCCATGAGCGAATGCATTGATGATGGGCAGGGCCAGGTGTCTGCCATCCTGGGGCACAGCTTGCCTCACACCTCCTCAGTGCAGGCCTGGCCTGGCTATACACTGGAGACTGCCAGCACCCAATGCCATGAGAAGATGCCAGTGAAGGACATCTATTTCCAATCTTGTGTCTTCGACCTGCTCACCACTGGTGATGCCAACTTTACCGCAGCAGCCCACAGTGCCTTGGAGGATGTGGAGGCGCTGCACCCCAGGAAGGAAAGATGGCACATCTTCCCCAACAGCAGCAGTGGGGCCCCTCACAGAGGCAGCCATTGGTCTGTCCATCTTGGATTCACATGCTTGATTCTTACTGTGCTTTTGTAGGGGTTGTTTTTTGTTTCATTTGTTATGTTTTGTTTGTTGTCTGTAACAAATTTTAAAGTATATATTGTCATAATATATTGAGTGAAAGAGTATATATGTATATACCATGTATATGACAGGATGTTTGTCCTGGGACACCATGAGATTGTACATACTGTGTTTCGCTGTTTTCACATATGTTGGATATAATGTTCTTTGATTGTTTTTGTTTTGTTTTGTTTTGTTTTTTGCAGTTTTGTGAAATGTTTTATAATGTCCCTGCTTAGGGACCTCTTAGAAAGCACTTTATTTTTTATATATTAAATATTTATGTGTGTACCTGGTTAGTATGTACAGTGTGTATACACAGACACCATCTACAGCATTCCTTTGAAGGTAACCGTTGTCTCCAGCCACTGTGGCTGTTCCCTTCTGCACTCCCATTGCTACTGACTTGCCAAGGTGCACAGTTGTCACTGGCCACTTCCTGGTGGAGCTGCTTCCTTTGAAGTGTGTCCTTATCCCTTCTGTCCTCGCCCAGTTTGGGGAGATAGTTCCCTCCTCCCTTCTTAGTACTTTTGACACTCTTAAACACTGATCTCACTAAAAAGCCCTCTAACAGCTGCCACTTTTTCAGAATGTTGGGGACAGTATTACTGCCATTCTTGTTACTCTATTTTAATGGTGACATTTGAGCACATATGGTACATTAAATTGACCTTCTGAAGCTGCTGTTTCTATGAGTACAGTGGGGCTAGTGATGCCCATTTCAAAGATGAATTCCAGGCTTCTTGGTAGAACTCAGTAGCTCAGACTTTTCCTCATCCTATGCTCTCATTTAAATTGTAGAGTCCCCTCTTTTAATTCTGTTCTTCATTAAACAAAGCAAAATGATAAACTTAGTAGTAATCATGCCTTGCTCTTCCTCTGTAATTTGTGGAAGTCCATGTTCTTACTTTTCTCCTCCTTGACTGTTTGGGCCCCTAAACACCACTGTCTGGCTCCACCCAGTGTCTCAACCTTACCTCAGGGTTCCAAAGACTGGCTGCATTCAGTCTTCTCTGACATGGAGGCCCAGATCCCATCCCAAAGCCCTCTGTTCTTCCTTATCTTCCACTCCTTGATCCTAATCCTTGATTGTGTGCATAATGAGATGGAATAGGGCCTTAAAGACAGAAACTCTTCCTTGGCATGTATTATTATGCACTTAACTGTGTATGCTATTTAGTCCTGATAATTAAGCGTCACACTGCCCAAGTAATCTCTTGTCCTTTCAGTTCTTCCCCTCTTTAACACCTGTAGTTGAGTATTTATTGGACAGTTGCTCCTGTCACTTAGCGAAGTTCCTGTAAAGTAAAATGATCTCTCTTTGCCTATTCCATCCCATTTCTGGCACCAATTGCAAAAGGGAAATAAAGGCAGCAAGAGTAACAAAGTTAACTCGTGAATAGGGAGACTTATATTGTTATATCTAAATGTAAATGTTTGGTTCCAAGAAGTGATACAACTTGTGTTTTAATATTTAAGGTTTACATAAATTCAAGCAAAAGATATGAACTTGAAACATTTGTAGTAATTTAAGCCCAGGTGATGCTTAGTCTGGGTTTGCTAGGTCGTGTCTTTTGCTATGTCCTATTGGCCAGTGACATTGGCAGAGGCCCAGGCTGACAGCAAAAGAGGATATCATTGTGTGAAATTCTGTTTCTTAGTAAAGTGATACATCATCCAGTCACAGTGGGATGGTGAGCTCATCTTAGAGCTGGCAAACTCTTAGATGGCTTGGGAAAAAATAATGAAGGCATCCTGCTTTCTATTCTTAAAAGTTCAAATCTAGAGAGTTACGTTGCTCTTTAAAAGAAGGTTCTTTAAAGTCCTTTAAGGAAGCTAGACTAGGACTGACCTTCTTTGAGCTCTGAACCATGGCCACTTTTGTTCACCTATGGAGCCATGTGCCAAGTTAAGAAGCTATTAACTAGTAACTTGCGATTGAGTAGAACAAGGGAGGGAAAATATTGAATACTTTTAACCACTATTTTTGTGCAAATAGATAAAGGTAAAGTAAAAGCAATAGAAGTTTCTACAGTGTCTGGGTTTAGAGTGTGTATGATTGATATCTTTGTCCTTTTCCGGGAGAATAAAGCCACCACCTCTACTAATAGTTGGGAAAAGAAAATTTGGTTGTTTTGCTGTATTGTTTAGCTGGAAAGAATGCTTAAGGAGTATGCTACATCAGTAGTACTAGTAATAATAGTATGTGGGTTATTCTCCCCCAGAACCAGTGTCCCTGTACAACCTTTATAGTCCCCACAGAGAACTTGTAGAAGGATTTTTCTAGAGAAGGGCCAGGTTTGTTTTCTTTGGGGTTTCTAGGGAGCATGCTGCTCGCACTTGTTTCATGCGGTCCTTAACCAGGAGACTTTCAGGCCATACCAACACACGAATAGGCTGTAGCTGTTCACAGATCTCTTGGGAAAGCTTAAAACTTAGGGATGGGGGTTGGGGGAACACTGGTTTTCACAGATGCTCCACATGGCAGTCTCAAAAACTCAATTTTTTGTCCTCTTGACTGTGCTTGGAAACCCCCTACATTGTGTCAAGTCTTTACAAAGAAACCTTTCGATGTGGTTCATAGGTATATGAATGAGTAAGTGTGTAAAACAGTGAGTGTGCAGCATGTAAATACTTAAATTATTATGCTAGAAAAATAAAGTTACAGACCATGCTGTGGAATGTTTGTTCTGTGATTATAGTGACACCTGCTGGAAGAGCTGAGCAACAGCTGCAGAAGAAAGGGAATAAGGGAAGTTAACAAAATCTCTAAGTTACCGAGAAGTTGTGCTACTTGCCCACTAACTCATTTTACTGCTACTGTAGTTTTTCCTTTATAAACTTTAAGAAATTACAAATAAAGCAGCCTCTGTGAGATTGGCCCACTGGTATTGTCCCAAAAGTCTCTCTTTAATAAGTAGTTTTCTTCCCTTGAAGGTAAACAAGCTGCACTCTGGTTCTTTTGAAGGCCGTCTGGAGTGCAACAACTAGTCCTGCCGGAGGGATGTTGAGGGCAGGATTTTCTGTCTTGGGAAACTTTGGTGAATCTTTACTTGGTGTTTTAAAAGGTAATATCACATGATTATAAATTGGTCTGAGTTCAAGAAATTTATCAGAGGGTAGAAAAATTTGAAAAAGAAACACTAAAGGCTCAGGAAAACACTTGCTGTTACCAGGTAGCCTCCTCTGTGTGTGTGTGTGTGCGTGCGTGCATGCGTGTGTGTGTGTGTGTGTTGGGGTGGTACACATACTGTTCTTGAATAGAAAACTTGCTTGGCCATTGGTACTAGTAGAGATGTGTAACAGTTCAGAGCAAATAAACAGGAGAAATTATGTCAACTGAATCACTTGAGAAACAGGAACCAAGGAAACAGTTCCTGAGTGCCTAGTGCAAGTTATTGTTGAGTGAACACAATCTGTAATGAAGAACACTGTAAAAAGTCCAAGGATATTCTTTCAAATAGTCTATCCATGCCCAGACTTTTAGCTTCTCAGGAACTAAAATGAGAAAGTCTAAAACCTAGGGGGCAGATTTTCATTTTCTTAAACAAGTAATGCCATAAAGGCTAAGAATCATCTGATTTATCTTTTATAAAAAATACAAAGTTGTATGAATTGGCAGTGTTTTATTGTCTGTAATGAACCAAGATAACACAGTCTTGGGTTGTTACTTTCTGAGCAAAGATTATCTTGTTCCAGACTTTCCCTCAGTTTTCATAATCAAATGTCTATTTCTGTATGAGCCAAGAAATACCTCACCCCCCGCAAGAAGGTAACTGAAAGAAATCATTTCAAAATTGATCTTTTCACACTGTGTCTGCTTCCATCCCTTCTCTGTGTGTCTTCTAAAGGGGAATTATTTAAATGATATTTTCTTTTTAATTCAGTCTTCCCCCAAAGAACTTCTGGTAAGGAGATGTTGACACTGTCAACTAAATATAATAATACATAATACACTGGCTTTTTTTTTTTTTTTACCCAAAATATATTTACAGTGATGATGTCTGTGTCTCCTCTCTTGTGAATGCATGTAGATTTACAGATTGGCAGCTAGGGTCAGAAAGACACTAACCACCAAGAGCCAGACCACACTCTGCTCATTTAGAGTGATCTTCAAATCAGCTGAGCAAAATCAATTCCGTCAACTAGCATATGTTAAGGTAGGTCCATCAAACTTGCATCAGAGGAAATCAACGACAGGGCAATGCTTTCTAATTAAAGATTCTTTATGGGGGTGGAGAGATGGCTCAGAGGTTAAGACCACTGGCTGTTTTTGCAGAAGACCCAGGTTCTAATCCCAGCACCCACAGGGAGGCTAACAACAGTCCCTAACTCCAGTTCCAGGGGATCCAAAACCTGTCCTCGGGCATTGCACAACATGGATGCACTTACACACCTGCAGGCATTACACTCATACACATAAAATTTAAAAATATTCTTTATGTGTGATATGGTCCATTTCTAATGCAATAATGAAAATGCCAGCTCAAATTTTTTAAGAAGCATTCTGTATAACCAAATTGATTAGATAAGAAACCATAGGTTAATTAACAAAATGTACCTGGCATAAAGGAACATTTTTTTAAAACTAGGAATATTTCAGGCTGGGAAGATGGCTCAGTCAAGTGCTTGCTGCGCAGGTATGAAGACATGGCACATATCTGTGGTCACAGTACTGGGTACATGAAGACAAGGACCTCTGAGCTCTGGCTAGCCAGCCTAGCCAAGTCGATGAGCTCCATTTTCAGTGAAAGATGCTGTCTCAAAAAATCAAATAGTCACTAAATAAATCTTAAAAAAAAAAAAAAACAGGCTGAAGAGATGGCTTGGTGGTTAAGAACACATACTGCTCTTGCAGAGGACCAGAATTAGTTCTCAGCACCCATATCCAGCAACTCACAACCACCTGTAACTCCACCTCCAGAGGATCTGATACTCCGTTCTGGCTTCCACGGGCACTCTTACATACAAACGTGGCAGCATTCACACAGACCCACAAAAATTAAATCTTAAAAAAAAAAAAAAGATAGCAATGGGGGCTGAAGAGATGGCTCAGCAGTTAAAAGTACCAGCTACTCTTCCAGAGGACCTGAGTTCAATCTTCAGCACCTACATGGCTTCTGGCCTCTGGGCATCCCATGCATGTGGTGCACTTACATACATGCAGGCAAAAAACTTCCTAAGATAATTTTTTTTTAATTTTTTAAAGATAGCAAACCCTAGAGGAAGACACTTGATTTTGACCTCTGGCTGCCTCTACATGTATGTGTGTACACGTGTACCTATGTGCACAAACATGAACACAAAACCCTAGGAATATTTCAATCAGTAATACTACACTATCAAGGGAAATGGTGCTATTTGATAAAGAAACTCCAAGGCCTCACAGGTAGGGTGGAATTTACTGAATGGAAAGTAAGAACAATACTTTTATTTTCTAGTGAACCTTTCTTAACAGCAATGGTGTTAATGCACCATTGGTCATCAATGCCATGAAGAATGAGGGAATTATTGACTGGCTTGCTGTTAAGTGCCAGACTCTAGGCCTCCTCATGAATATTATGTTCTTTCTTGGCAGGGGGGAAAAACCCTGAAATAAGTTGTCAAAACACAAAATGCAAGATCCTTAGCATCCTATCAATTTGGAAATTTGAATGACATTTGAAGTTCAAGAAAGAGGTAAAAGTTTACCTCAGGATCTGAAAGCGTGGCTCGCCAATCAAAATGGCAAATACAGAATGCTTTCTGATTATGTTTTTAATGCAGGACCATTAATGATTGCTTTTATGTAGTCTACCTCAAGAGGCAGCATGCCATCGTGGTCAACATTATGCATTGTGGAAATGCCAAGTACGGAGTTTAAGTCCACTTCTCTTACTGGTGCATCCTCAGGCATTCAAACCAGGTTAAAACTTTAGATTGATTCCTCATCCTTATGAGAAATAACAATGTCACACCTCAAACATTCCATGTGAGGAGTAAATTTAGTATTTTACCTTTCTTAGCATGGTGCCAAATACCAACCTATAACTGCTTAAAGATGTACCTGAGATGGACGGTTTGTGTGTTCACCTGGCAACCCGAGTTATTCCTAGAACTACATTTGTTTTCAAGCCCCTGTGAACATCCAAGAATTTCTGACTAGGCCAAAGTTCTGTAGAGTTTGAACACCCTGGAAGGCGGCAAACTCAGTATCATAGCTTCCAGGATAGCACCTGAGACCAAATCAAAAGTAGACATCAAGTAACCTCCTGTTTCCTTCCTCACTGTCACTGCTCCCAGATTCTCAACATAAATTTCTTAAGGCCCCTACTAAGACAGTAAACCTAATTTATGGACAACCATTTGCCTTGGAGTGATCATCAAGAATTGGAAGTAAATGATTTGAAGATAGGAAGAATCTTCATGATATTATAGCTAAAGATCACTGATGATGCATTTATACACCTCAGCGATTCCAAGTCCTGGTGAGGGAGGAATGCAGTTGGGGAACGACATTCTGAAGTACTTTCCTAGATGAGTTACAATAGGTCCATCTGCTAAGTATCCCATGCTCATAGCAGAACTGACTCTTGGTATAGCCTTCTAATTGTTCACCCTAGGCCAGTGATGGCATTGTCATCTCAGAACTACTTGAATGGGAAATAAAAAAGGCCATCTATAGAAGGCTGATAGATTTAGATGGCCTGATCAAGTGAAGTCCTTCCCCTTTGCTCTTAAGATCTCAAAGTCAGGAGCTAGAGAGACAGCTTAGTAATTAAGAGTGCTTCCTGCTCTTCCAGAGGACTAGAGTTCAGTCCCCAGCATCCATGTCAGGTGGCCCACAACTGCCTGTAAGTCCAACTACAGGGAATCTACTACCCTCTTCTGGCCTCCATGGGCATACACTCACATAGACACTCAAACACATAAATAAAAATAATTCTTTTTAAAAAATCTCAAATGTGAAAGATGAATTACGAGAAATTACATATGCCCAACAAAAACACAACAGATGAGGAAAATGGAAAATGTCAAAAAAACTATAAAAATAAGGGAAGTAGAAAGAGAAAGTATAAAAGGTGACAGAAGGATGGAGACATAATTGATAAAACCTGAATACAATTAATAAATACACTGAATAGAAATGAAAGAACAGAAGTGATACTTGAGTTATCCAAGAAGAGCAGAGATGTAGAGGAACCAGGTATCCTCTTTTCAAATATTTTCCTTTCAAAATCATATATCGTTTGGCCTTTGGAGAGCATGACAATTTGCCAAGAGCCTGGTTTGAGACTGGAGCCATGACTCTGGTTAGGAACAGTGGCTGCTCTTAGCAGAGGACCTGGGTTTGGTTCTCAGCACCCACATGGCAGCTAACAACCATCTGTAACTTCAGTTCCAGGGGATCCAATGTTCTCTTCTGACCTCCATGAGCATTGTTCAACATGGGTGCACTTATATACATACAGACAATATGCTCATATACATAAAATATTGTTTAAAAAGATTCTTTGGTTTGAGTAAATCCAGTATGAACTCTCATCTCCAGAGGGTAGAAAGGAGAGATTTATTGCAATGTTATAGAGCACCTCATGCAATGTAAGGGCAAGAAAGAGACAGAGCCCACAAGACAGGAAACCAAGGCTGAGAAGCTGTTAGGGTGCCACCTGTGCTACTGACTCTGCAAGTCCTTCCTTCTCTCAGTCTGCAGTTGATTTCTTGTCTTGTGAGAGTTCTTGGTAGAACAAAGCTACCTCATAGCACCTGCTTCTCCCACCTACAAAGTTTTCAGGTCCAGGGAAGAACCCCCTTGGTTCAGTGTAGGTCACATAACACAACAAAATACAAAAAGTCCTACTGGTATTTCTCTGGTTTTATCTGAAATATTCAGGAATCATGTCATAGAA